CAGCACCGCAGCAAACAGCGGACGTAAAAGTGGACTACCACTTCATACTTGATTACATCACCGGCTCAAAGGCCAACACCATTGCCTTCAGCCCAAAGACCGACTTTTCACATGGACCGGAAAAGCTGCTCAGCTTTGCAGTGGCCGGTGACGATTTCTGCATCCTCATACTCAGCCAGCTGTTCACCGAGAACAGCGATTCGACTTTGGAGGAGCAAAACTCGGAGCAGCAGTACATCAGCGGACACAATGACTACATCAACGATATGGCCTTTGAGCCGTTGACCGGGCAAGCTCTTGCCTCAACCAGCGACGACTGCACCTGCTGCATCTGGTCGTTGCCTAGTATTGCCGACGCTCAGAAGAATGAACCGGATAGAAAGTTGCTACTCACTTCGCCTGGAATCAGCGTCAAGTGGCACAATGCAGAGCCAAACAAGGTGAGCACAACTTTTCTTCTTCTGATTTGTTTAAACTAAACTAAATCGTAATTTCTTTCGATGCAGCTGTTTGTGGCTGAGAAGGCGGGCATCATTCGCTTCTACGACACCAACTCCGGGGCAGCGGTGATGTTCTTTGAGTGCAACCGCACTCCACTCATGTCCAGCGACTGGTGCAACAACAACAGCTTCTACATTGGCTGCTGTGCCGGCAAGGACCTCTTCTTCTGGGACACCTCGCTGACTAGTTTGCCCATTCGGGTGGTCAAGACCAATGCAGAGGGCCTCTCTGACTTTGCCTTCTTTGACAATGCCGTCGTGGCGTACCGTGGTCGGCCGAAAAACTTTTTAAAAGTGCTCAATGTGAACACTAATCAGGTGAGGTGTACTGTTTTTTTTTGCTTCTGAGTACTGCTTTCTGACCCTTTTTGTTTGCAGGTTCTCATCGAGAAGGAGTTTGTAGCCGGCAGAGGTCTGGGCTGGTGCCGAAAGCTGTCCATCCTCGCAGTCGGCGGATCCAAAGGTGTTCACGTCTATAAACTCAACACACTGTAGTGTTGTTTGTTGATGATTATCTTCCATCAGCAGCAGCAGCAAAAGCAGGTCACACAATACCTTACTCACTTATTTGTACATTGCACTCTAAACGATCACCACCAGTAAAAAGTAACTCTAATTTACGAGGTCCACTGTCCTTGAGGCTATGCCTTGATGCCATTGGTAACCGGCACCAATGCACTGATAACCAGAGGTGGATTCTGAACCTTGAGCAGCGTAAACAGTCATAAACACAAATGGANAAAGTAACTTTAATTTACGAGCTCCACCGTCCTTGAGGGTAATGCCTTTGGTGACGGGCAAAACAACTGATAACCGCACCGAGGTGGATTCTGAACCTTGAGCAGCGTAAACAGTCATAAACACAAATGGTAGTGATGATTCAGTGAGGTGCACTGCGGGGACGGGAACTCAAATGAATCTGTAGAGAAAAGCTTCCAAACAAAAGTAAGCGCCAGAACATTTGAAGAGAAGACTGGTGCAGCTGGTGCGCTCTACTGCGTCTGTGTCGTCTGTGTGTGCCTAAATGTCAGCTGAGAGTTGAATCAGTGAACACAAAAAAATCGTGTTTTGGCTAGCGATTTGCGCTTCTCATCAGCAGCTTTGGGTGAACTCTGCTCTGTGCTGCTGCTGCTGCATTGTCTTCTCCCGTGCTAACCTTCAAAGCACTGTATTGCTGATCAGCACCACCACCACAACTTGGCACTGTCATATCAACGGTGAACAGACGACTTGTCAGTGAGCGACAGCAGCAGCAGACAACCAGAGCGAGAGAACTAAAGCACACAGCGGCAAATGAGCCTGCCAAAATCACCCGATATCATCTCCTCCTTCTTCTCCTTCCCCTCCTAATCAGTCCGTCTTCAACAAAGGCCCTTCGCAGAAGCATCTTCACCATCACCATCTTCCTCTTCTTCTTTATCCTCGTTCTTCATCCTCCTCACCTCAGCTCAGCTCAGCTCAGAGTTCTGCGATGGCATTGTCAACGTCAGCAGATAGCTGCAGTGGCACAGCTACCACCACTGTACAAGAGCTATCTGCATCGTAAATTAGATTGCGCCCATTCGTCTGCACGTCTTCGGCGTCTCTCACCCGCTTACATCACAGAGAGAAAGAAAGAGAGACCAATATGTGGTGTCAAAAGTACGGCGAGGACTGACTGTCTAACACACTACTAACAGACGCTAAAGTACACACACACATCACCGAGATAACTAAAACACGGGAACATCACTGGGCAATCTGCTGCTGCTGCCGCTGAACAGTCTCCTCGTCCAGTTGATGGCGCCATTCCGAGGAAGCAGCAGTTGAGGGACTGCTACTGCTGCTGTACAACACTGAGACCAGTACTGTGTAGTACTCTCTGTTATCGATCAGCCTCGGGGTGGCCAGACAAGCACTCACTCACTCGCTGCTGAACAGTTGGCTAAACACATAGAGTGCCAAGTGCGAGGTAAGCTTGAAGGATATATTCGAGTGAGTGAGCCAGAAGTGAAGAGCTGGTGTCTGCCGCTTTATTCGATATTTTTGACAACAAATGGCCGTACTATTTTATTCCCTTTACTCGAAGCTCATCACCACCTCATCATCACCCTTTTAGACGCATTCTCATCATCTACACATTGCATTCCATCCATTCACTGACTGATCCTTTGTCCGTCCACCACCGCCGTCCTCTTTTCTCTCTCGGTTCTCGACAAGCTCACATCAAAAACAACAACAACAACGACAACAAAAAGATGCCGGAACAGAAGAAGTCCTCGCCCCAGCAGGAGGTGATCCTTTCGAAGTGGTACTTTGGCGGCCTGGCCTCCGCCGGCGCCGCCTGCTGCACCCACCCACTGGACCTGATCAAGGTGCACTTTCAGACGGCGCAGTCGAGCGGCGCTTCCGGCTCCACCGCTTCCTCTTCCTCTGTCCGTCCGACGATGGTCTCCACGACGGTGCGCATCATCCGGGCGGATGGCGTGCTGGCGCTGTACAGCGGCCTCACCGCCTCCCTCCTTCGCCAGCTTACCTACTCCACCACCCGCTTCGGCATGTACGAGGTGGGGAAGCAGCAGCTGGCCCCGGACGGCCACACCATTCCCTTCTACCAGCGGGTGCTCCTCGCCGGCGTCTCCGGCGCCGCCGGCGGCCTGGTCGGCAGTCCCGCCGACATGATCAACGTGCGCATGCAGAACGACATCAAGCTGCCGCCGGCGGAGCGCCGCAACTACCGCAACGCCCTTGACGGCCTCATCAAGGTGTACCGCTTCGAGGGGCCGAAGGCGCTCTTCAACGGCGCCTCCATGGCCACCTCGCGCGCCATCATGATGACCATTGGACAGGTGAGTGAGAGTGCTGGTGCTGGGGATTTGTTTATAAATTGACATTACTCTTCCTCTTCTCCCTTGTAACAGCTGTCCATGTACGATCAAATCAAGTACATCATGTTGACGTACTTTTCCTCTATCTTTGAGGACAATGTGTCAACACACTTGACGGCCAGTACGCTGACGGGCGCCGTGGCGACGTCACTCACCCAGCCGGTAAGAGAGAGAGATCGATAGTACAAGTAGTACAGCAAAATAGTACACACACACTCACTAACACCTTTCCCCGCTTTCCCCGTTCAGCTGGACGTACTGAAGACACGACTGATGAACTCGACTGAGAACCAGTACCGGAGCGTGGGCCACTGCATCCGCGACCTGTACCAGACCTCCGGCGTGCTGGGCTTCTTCAAGGGCTACGTGCCCGCCTTTGTCCGCCTCGCGCCGCACACCATTCTCACCTTTGTCTTCCTCGAGCAGCTTCGCCTCAACTTTGGCACTCGGGTAAAGGCCACGGCGAGCCACTCCTGAGAGGCGTGTGTTTTTACTTCACCACCACTACCACCACCACGCTTTAATTATCCCATTCCACTCTGCAATACTTGTTGTTTAACTTCTTCTTCCTCTTCATCCTCTTGTTGATTCTTTTACTGTTGATTTTAGTACGATCCAAAAATACTATGGCTTGTGTTCATCACATCTCAATTGTTGTTGCTTTTATGTGTCACTGGAAATGAAATGTCTGTCACCTGACGTACAAGACAAGTGTAAAAAGACGAAAAAGAGACGATTAAAAAAGTTATGTACATGAAAGGTAAAGGAAATGACAATCGAAGTGTTTGGGCTTTTTAACCAGAGCAGCCTCGGCAGCCGCAGTGAATGCACTCGACAATGTTGCGGCCCTCTTCGAGTTTCTCGCGGGGAACGCGGCAGATGCAGTTGGTGCCAAAGTTGGTGTCACGAGCCTGAATGCAGCGCAGGCAGCACAGATTTTCGTAGCCTGCAAACCAAAGCAAATCACAAACAAAAAGTAAGAAAACGGCGTAGTAAACAACACAGAGATCAACGGCTTACCTTGCTTCTTCCACTTGGCGATCAAGGAGGCGTCGGCGATGCGATTCTTGATGCAGTAGTCGTACAGCTCGCGGGAGATGGCCTTGCGCTTGTAGAAGAGGTCGAAGATGTAGCGCGATCGCTGGTGGTGGATCTTGAAGATCGGCCAGAGTGCCTCCGTTCGGCGCTTGCCCTCGTGTGACTCGGTCTCCGCCTCGCGCATCTTCGCGTCCAGCTCCTCGATGGTCGGCTCGATCAGGTCCCAGCCCTCCGGCGGCTGGCGGGTTCGGTTGCGGACGGATCGCACTTTGGGCATCGTTTGAATCTTCTTTTGAATCTTCTGGAACTTTCAGTCAGGTAACTTAACAACTTTCGGCTGATTCGTTGTTGTTGTCGGTTTTTCCCTTTGTGACTGCACTCGCTCAACTTACACCGCGTGCAGCCTGAAGCCTCAACTTGCAGCGTGTGAAGCGGTGCTTCAAAGCCAGTGCTCTCTCGCGCAATGCTCGCTCTGCCGNTCGCACTTTGGGCATCGTTTGAATCTTCTTTTGAATCTTCTGGAACTTTCAGTCAGGTAACTTAACAACTTTCGGCTGATTCGTTGTTGTTGTCGGTTTTTCCCTTTGTGACTGCACTCGCTCAACTTACACCGCGTGCAGCCTGAAGCCTCAACTTGCAGCGTGTGAAGCGGTGCTTCAAAGCCAGTGCTCTCTCGCGCAATGCTCGCTCAGTAAAGGCGCACATGCAACGATCTGCCTCACTTTCTGTTTGTCTCATGTGTGTTGTGCAGCAGCAGCATTCTCTCTCCATCTCCAACCCGGGACACAGCCAAATAATAATCTCCAGTGTGCCTGTTTACATCTCTCACCCTAATCAGTGCGTCTGCAGCGGCCGTGTGCTGTTCTGCGACCACCACCACCACCACCACCACCGAACACCATGCGCAACAGCCGTCCAAAGAAGCGCCCGCGACGGCAACAACGATCATCAGTCAGTGGCGATGATGACAGTGACTCCAGCTTCACGGTGGTCACCCCTGCCACCACCAGCAGAAAGAATCGCCGTCAAACCGCAGCTGAAGTGGACTTTGCTGAGGAGAACAGCAATGACAGCGCCTCGG